ATATTTAAGAAAAAAAAAACAAAAAACAAAAAAAAAAGAAAAAAAACAAATTTTTATTGTTTAGAGGAACTAAGCACTCGACTCGAAATAAGAAAATTAAAAGAATATCGCCAAATGGGAATAATGACACTAAACGAAGCAAATAAATATGAAAAAGCAAAGGCGCAAAAGGTAGGCATTGTTTTTCTTTACATTGAAATCAATATACATGCTACAAATTATTGTTTATTGTTTAGGAGGCAAATCGAGAATTAGCTGCTCGACCATATAATGGTCATACGATTCCGATATCGTATAGCGATCGTCTGCAAGTAAAATATTTTTCTTCCAAGATGAATGAGGTGCGTTGTATGATATTGTAATGATAATTTAGGCTCTGAATTTATAGGCTGTGCTAACAGTATTTAACATGCGTAAAAATTCATAATAAACCGTGATTTTTTAATCTTTTAAAGCAGCATTCGCCATCATCATCTCCTTATGGTAATAAAACACTTCCAGCGGCAGCATCGCCAGTTATCAGACTAAATGTACGAAAACAACCACAAGCGTTAGATCTTAACGACGAAGAAGGAGTACATTTACTATCGGAAGCTGAACGAAGATTATGTGAGACTTTACGGATATTACCAAAATCCTATTTGGTGATCAAAGAAACAATTCTTAAAGAATGGGCGAGATCGGGTGGAACCCTACGAAGAAGACAAGCTAGAGGTCTTATAAGAATTGATGTTAATAAGACAGCAAGAATATACGACTTTTTTATAGAGATGGGTTGGATACGACAGTTATCTGATAATACTTCTAATAATTAGTGTACAGCAATTACTTGGCAACAATAACATGACCAGTAGTCAGATTCATGTATATCGTTAGAGCATCTAAAGAAAAAAAACATTAGCAATATCAGTTAGTTTTTCTTAAGTCATTACTTGCACAACCACAATAAGTTTCACAAAATAATTGAGTTCTTGACAGAATCGCATTAGTCACATGATATATTGCACAAAGTAATTTGAGTGTCGATAGTAGTTGAAAGCCTTTGAAAAAACTTGTATTTATCTTTTTGACAGAACCGCATAAGTCACATGGCCTTGAGTTTTTTTTTTACTATAGCAAGTGTATTGGACCACTGCTTATACATGTTGTAGATGGATTTAGAATTCTGTGGATTCTAAATCCATTTAAAATTCAGAATCAACTTAATTTGATTTCAGATCTTATAATCGCTTGCAATAAACAAACTATAAATATCTTTCGATAATCATATGGTACTTGAAGTCTATGCAGCTATAACTTCATCCAAAATTTAGTGATACTAATTGTCGCGGCTGAAGCTGGAAATATCTTAATACGAAATTTTCGAAATTTTTTGGGCGTTTTTCTAGCCTTTTTTTTTTGTTTTTTTTACAGTTAGGTTAGTATTTAGGGTTAGTTTTGATAACAAAAGTGTATAGGCGGATTCTGGTAGGGTTTATATTTTAAAATCGAGGTCTCTAATGTTCAGCTTCAGCCGTGACGATAATCAAAATTTTCAATTATTTTCACCAACTACCGTAATCGATTTTAACCAACTGACCGATGAGTCTATTAAACGATCAAACAGCACTAGAGATTCAATTTGACGGTCACATTCTGATTGAAAGAAATTTTTTAACAAAAATATTTTGATATCCAACTGTCTAAAATCGTCGCGAAATAACGCGCATGCGTGTTATTTCGAACAATACCCGAATTAAGCTTAATTTAGGCCAAAATTCGAAATTACATCCCTGCGCGTTATTTCGCGAAAATACATGTATTTTGATTCTATATAACTGTATAATCAAAATAAATTTTTTTTTTTTTTTTTACTAATTTTACATAGTCGCAAGATATTTTCCTAAGGTTGTATAAAAATTATCTCGATTTTTGGACTTATAACTATTAAAACAAATTGTGGCAAAGTTGTTTTCAAACATTGAGCAAAGATATTTCGGCAACCATCTTCTAAAATCGATGTAATTAAAATAAATTTTTCATCAATTTTAGATAGCTAATTTCAGAGATATCTGCTCAAAGTTTGATATTTGGATTATTAATTTTCATCCGATCAGAATGTGAGTGTTCAAGAGAATCTCATTTTGTCGCCATGGCTAGGGTACTGGGAAAGGAGTTCCACCTCTCGGATCATGGTTCGAGACTGAAAATTGGATCATGATCCAAGTAATTCATCTAACTAACAACGAAGAACTACATAACTGATAAGGAACAATTTATTAAGTTTTAAACACTTCTCTAATTTTAAAAGAAACTTAGTTGAAGAGTTTATAATTTGAAGATTTATTTCAGATATGAAAACTTTTATAATTATTTTTCACTTAATGTATACATTTCCGATTAACTATTAGACCTAACATCTTTATTTAACAATCTTGCTTAGTCGCTAAATCATTTTTATGTTCTTAATTCGAAAATGAAAACGAAATTTTAATAATTTATAGCATTGACTTGATAAATTTGATCGGTTTTTGAGTTGATATTATTGACCGAAAATGGGACATATATTTGAATTTTGGCTATTATCCCAAATAAAGTAGAAACCCCGACACCCAAACCAAAACTACGTAATATGTCACCATTCAAAAAAGATTAGGATCGTAATCCTAATATCCACCAGCACCTGGGGCATTCGCATCCTTTTTCAAACCGAGAAGTAACTCTTTGAAACGGCTAACATCCTTAACGTGTTTAGTAGACGTTTTGCTCTGAACATTTGAAATATCAACTTGTTTGCAAATGCGTTCCCAAGTTGTACCCGAAGTGAGATCGTCTCGCTCATGCAGGAACTCTTCTTCTTCTTGTCTTTATAATTTAAATATTAGACATAAGAGACAATAATCTAATCATTACTAATAAGGATTACTATAAAATTAAAATATTACTTGTTAATTGCATGTGCTCGTGCCTTCTTTTCGTTATATTCCTCATAAAACTTGTCAATTGCGTCCCGTGCAATAGCGATCGTTTCCCGTCTTTTCGCCTCAGACTCCTCATCACGCTTTGCAATAATCTCTCTTTGTCGTTCCTTCCATTGCCTATGAATCAATTAGAACATAGATCATTCAGAAAGTAATAATTATAGACGTGAATTTGATCATAATAACCTCATGTCTTTGGTTCTTAGCTACCGAATAATTTCAGGCTCTTCTTCATAAGATTGATAGCTCCCTGATGAAACCAAACCGTTGGTACCAGTATATAAAGTCTTTAATCATAAGAAAGATTATTAATTAATTTAAAAGCAAATAATGTTGGTTAATTCTAAAATTCGGTTATAATATTTTTAATTACCAATTTTCTAATACACACCTGAGTATTGTTAACTTCTACTTGTGGAAATTCGGAATGAAAAGCAGAATAATCGGGTAAGGCGCTGGAAGTAGATCCGGCACCAGGCACAGTACTAATTGTTGGACTAAAAACGCTACTGTTCGTTGAAGAAGAAGATAGATCTGGAAAGGCATCAAGCTCATTCGAAGTGGAAACTGAATTGGTTGCATTAAATATTGCAGCATCGTCTCCAAGAACAGCTTGTTCCCTTGCCAGAAAATCTGCAGTGGGATCAGAGTCCAGAAGCGTATTTGAGGATATGGAATGGTCTTCAATTGGTGGAAATTCAGTGTCAAAGTCTGCCATTGCGAAAATTTACTTAAACACGAAAGATATGGCTTAGAAGTCAGAAGTCAAAGAAGAAATTTGTCTGATTGGTTAATTTCTATGGATATATCCGTGATCACACGTAATAATTATCCAATCAAATTACATAATTTAAAAAAAAAAAAATAATAATATACCGATACGAGAAAATTAATCTCATAGGTAGATACACATAAATGGGTGAAATTGGTATTTATTATTAATAACCAAACCAAAACTTACAGTATTACGATTGACAGACCCAAACATATTGCAAGAACCGAACATACCTCCTATTAAAGGCTTGTTCCTATTCAAAATAAATACGAATACAGCATTACGTACGTACGTACGTACCATTACAGCGCATCTGTCACCATATTCGAGTATTTGGACCCCCAATTTAAATTTTAATTACCAAATTGATCAATGCTAAACCCCGAAAAATTTTTGGTCCTCTGGTCCATATCGATAACCGTCTAACTCGTCTTCCCATTACCTTAACGCATCTTTACCTCGGACATTGAATTAGCACAGTCGAAAGATTCGTAATCAAAATTTTTAAAGCTTCTAGTTATCTTATTCCACAATACGATACAATGGTAGACATATTTTCTTTTGTTTAAAAATTTATGTTTGCATAAATAAGTTACCCAATTGATTTACATTAGCCAATTAAATGAATTTCTTTCTATGAAGTTAGAAGGGTACCTTTCATTCGCGAATAAGTATATAGAAAATTAACTAAAATTTGATTATTAATAATTCAGTAAATTTGAAGTTTACACCAATTCTTTCTGAACAGATTCTTAAAAGGAACTTGGAATCTTAAAAAAAAAATATGCGTATTTACAGGTGGATTAGTGGTGGCAGAAACGATCCTCGGTCCCGTGATTTCCGAGAAAATTTCTATGTAATTTTTACCATCACGTGATG